GGATAAGAAAAGGAGGTAGGTATTGGAATATTTTTTGAACTTTTGGAGATTATATGTAGATGGAAATACTTCCACAGGCAATGAATTCCAGAGCTTAGCCGTTCTATGGATGAAGGAGTCTTGATAAAGTGCTGTTCGACATCTTTCGAGGTTGACAACGTAAGGATGTGCTGACTGGGCTTGTCTAGTTCGTCTGACTGGTATTGCTAGTGCAGGCATGATAGCAGAGATTCCCGAAGACCATTTCCCGTGGAAGTATCGATAGAAAAGTGGAAGGTCGCTGACCTTTCTACGGTGTTCCAATGATGTCAAAGAGTGAGTGTGGCGTCACCCACCAGGCGAATGGCTCTTCTCTGGGTGGAATCTAAGAGCATCAGCGTATGTTTTGGTGCTGAACTCCATATGTGGGAACAGTATTCTAGAACAGGCCGTATCTGCGCTTTGTAGATCATGAGAAGCTGTTGAGGTGTGAAGTAGCTTTCCGCACGGAACAAGAATCCGAGTTATTGTGAAGCAGCTTTTGTTATATTCACTTGATGAATGAACGTGCGAGTAAGTATATACTCTTTGTTTTCATTTTATTTCATCAGCATGCTCAGTACAAGCTCTTTCGATGTAATTCGAATCGAACAGTGGAATTATGATCATGTGAAGCTTCTGTTGCTTTTACTCATCATCACTTTCCAGTTACATACAGATGAAGAAGGAAAATTATTCCACTTTGAACAATATCAACATGTGTTGAAACTGAACGAATTCTTCAGATATGCATGGCCAGTCTTATGCGAAAACCTGATTAGGAAAGAAGTTGACACTTTCTAGGAAAGCAATGAAACTAATGGAAAAATCATATTCATAGGGTGGGTACCTATCTGAAATATAGTGTTATTCTCGTTATACGACACGAAGCATGCATTGTGGCTAAAGCATTCGAATCATTGGACGTTATTTTATCGGATGACTATATAAAGGGACCTATCAGCGAAACATTTCAAAACTAAAGTCATGTTGTACATCGTGTGCCAAAAACACGAAATTTATTTAAGTCGCTATTTTTCATATGGAATACCCTTTATATTATTGCATTCTCAGATTCCCCCTGAAGAGCTGATTTTATCAATACATCATACTTGGCGTGAGCTTTGAGGCAATAATGAATAGTTTCAGCACAAAAAAATCCTAAATTTGAAAAATCTCCATTTTGAACACTCTATATATCTCTGTGATAATTTCCGCTATAGACCCTGAGTTCAATGCATTAAAAAAATCAGCTCTTTATGGGAAATCTGGAAATACAATTATATACAGGTCATTCCATTACAAAAATAGCAGCTTTAATACATTTCTTGTTTTTGGCACACCCAGTACAACATGAAAATATTTTCAAAATGTGGCGCTCTATTCATCCGAAAGAAATTACTTAAAAAAAATGTGATTCTGTAGCCAAAATGATTCGTGTCGAATTACGTGAATAATCCTGTATATTTCACATGGAAAACTATACTCCTTCATTATTATCAATTGTCTCACCAAATGTGATGAAATGAATGAATTGATTGGATTGGTAGTAAGGATATGATGAAATTCTTGACATTCTTTTCGTGAGAGGTTATTACTCAATTTTTTTTTCAGTCAGTGATTTTTTTTTTCTATTACAGATCCGGACATGTTATCTCCTGATGAACTGGAAGAGCCTTCTCCTACTACATTTTGGATATCTATTATATTTTTATTAATCAACAGAACATTATTTTATAATTATAAATCAATTAACATTCAAATCACACATTTCTTATCATTTATGATGATATTCGAGTAACTGTAAGATATATATACTTGAATAATAATATCAACTATATATAATATAATTTGATTATTAATTAATGTGTTTCAATAATAAACTTTTAAACAGTTGATATCAAGAAATATCAGTTAATATAAAAATCATATGTTCTTTTTAATAGTTTATGGACTCTTATTCTGTTTTTGTTGGAATGTTGGTTACATATTATTATTATTTTTATCATCATTATATTATGTTCCTTTATTGTTTCGAAAATCATTGATTCATTTGGAATTTCTGAACTACCTAATCATTTGTTTGTCGTTGAATTATATTGGTTGGGCCATATTCAAAAGCATAATTTGTTAACATTGAAGAAATTTTTTTTATTGCTAACAAACTGTTTTCTAAGTGTAGAGGTTGAGTCAATGACGCACTCGATGACGCTTGACCCCAAGGCTATTCAACTCTATAAGGTTGCCTCATATTGACCTGGCCTGACGTCACTGTTTCCCCATCGTCTTTTGTCGAACGGCAAAAATGAAAATGGCGGAGGTGAAAAACAAAACAAACAAATTTAGCATTGTGCAATCAAGTGATCTCAATCAAGTGAATATTGATAAATTTTGATGTTTTCCAATATGTTTTTGTGTCCAAGAGATTGTTTACTGTTTTCCCAAAACATGCAGCAAGTACAAAAGACTGAAGACAGAAATCTAGAAAGATATGTTCCTCAGTGCTCCTGTTGTACAGACACATTACAGAAACTCAGTCAAATTCTTATTGCAATACCACTCCATTAGGACTGATTACTGTTGGCATTAATAAGGATATGGAGGTTGAACTACTGATAAAGCATTTTTTAATAAAGAAAATGTTATTGGGAAGTCTGAACCTAATGATGAAATCATGGTGGATAAGGGCATGCTGACAAGGGATGTGAAGAAATATCTTGAAATTGATTAGGCCATCATTTCTGAGAAACAAGAAACAATTAACTAAAGAGGATTTCCTTCTGGATAAATTGAATGATTCTAACTCACTGGTTTTATTTCAGTATCAATTTGGAACATATTATTGTTTGAAAATGCAATAATAAGAAAATGAATTAATAAAGAAGTCATCACAATTCATTCCATTTTATTAATGCAATAAAAGTGCAACATAATGGAAATATCTTTGAGATATCTTCCTCATAACATTAACACAAAATGTATCACAAAAAAACTGGAATCTTTATGTAAGTTTTGGAGGAAGAAGAATCATACAAGAAAAAAGTTCATTAGGGACATTTTAGGGCCATTATTCCCAACTGAATTTATCCATAATAAGTGTGTCTCTCTTCCAACTTCACATTTTTTATACCATCTCCTATCAAGAAATGGCATTGTTCCACAAAATGTTCTGAACCTTTACCTAAAATTTTGAGAAAATAATTCAAGCTGAATGTAATACACATTATTTAACAAACCTCTATGTAAGGACCTCAGTAAGGACACTTATTTCAATTATTTCCATGGTCTTCCTTCCTGAAAAATAATTTCATATTGAGAAAATCCTAACCATGGAAAATATTGGGACACAAATTTGTTTGCATGATTTGAAATTCAATATCATTTTCAATGATCATTTTGAAAGAGCTTTGGATTCATATTCAACTCCATGCTGAACAAATTTATTTGAAAAATCCTTTGGAAAGAAGAAGTTGATTGCCTTTTTTCCCAAGACTCCTTGCTACATGTAAAAATGAAGTAGCAAGTATAAGTAAGATTTAATAAACTCACCAGTGTTCCTGAGTACCATGCAATAGCTAGTTGTTTATGAGTTCATTGGCTTCCAAACAAAAAACAAAATAGACTGATATACCCTGTAAAATTAACTTCAATTATATAAAGGAAGAATGATTTTAGGGGGTCACTTTCCTTCTTTTAATAAGCAGGTAGCAGAACTATTGAAATGGTTTGGCTGTATAATAGATCATTGATTGATCTACTCTCTTTTTTCAATTTTCACCACTTCTGTTTGTTATATATGCAGCTTCACATATTCCAAGTCTTCATTCCTGAAATTTCATGTATTTTTTACCTGTGTGTGTGATAGATCAAAAGTGCACCTTCCTACCTGTCAATATAAGTCCCTATAAAATGTGTATACAAAACCGTGACATGCCTGCTTCACAGGGACATTCACATTGCCACAGCTCATCATTTTCCTTTGGAATTATCTGAATCTCATGTGGAGGCTGCCAAACAGGCATTTCATAACATTTGTTTGTTCTATATCCACTCTTGACTCCACACAATAATATGATATTTATGATGTGACCAGCCTTGAATAATACTACACCATATTATTATACAACCTCTCACACTCTTTCGAAGATATCTTCAGTCTTCTTGTCACCCTGTTTTCAACTAAACTCTAAAATTCGCGATTCTTTCGAATTCAAATTCAAAAATTTTTTCAATTCATTTGACAGTGACACAAACGAAATCAACAATCACGTGGTGGGGAAACACTGACGTCACGCCCCTCCGCGCACCCCCGCACCATAATGCTATACTATGAGGTAACCTTATAGAAGTTAATAGACCTTGGCTTGACCCTTCCTAATCAACTCGTTCATAAAATTTTTGCATCTGAAACTATCAGGAAACGTTCTATATGACTCACGAGTAATCTTCGCATAATAACTTTTTTTCAGGAACTTCGAATAATAATAATTTGATTCACTTGACGAGAGCAATGTCTTATTGGTCAAACCTTACCCGAAAATTGATCTAATCGGATATGATTTCGGGATTCTCGGTATAAATATATCATTAGGACCTCAGGAATTCCGGTATCGGTATTTCGGGATTGCAAGCCCTGAACATGATGTAGTATCGACATTATCTTATCGAAATCGTAGTATCGCAAAACTTCATTTCATATCATTGTCAGTAAACGTACATTGGAACTTATTTTTACAACAAAAAATGCGATGATTTGGGATGGATTTGATTGCGCGAATATTATAATTATGATACACACGAACAAGAAAAGTATCGTTAGGATTCGTTTATTTGTTGTGCGATCATTCTTAACTTTCATGTTTTTGATTACTGATGCTGTGAATTACCTGTGATCTATCTGAATGAACTGTATTAGTATTATAATTATTATATTATAATCAAATGATCTAGACCACCCTGTATACCTATTCGTATGAGTTCTATCGTGATCGATCAACGATTGCCCTGTATATCGCAAGGCCCCTATATTTTCTCAGCGTTACCTGGGTGATTGCGATGTCAACATTGTAGCTACATTATCCACTTCAGCGTCGTTTTACATTGGTGTGACATCAACAATGACCGACAGCGCGAAAAAACATTTCATCAAAATAGCAGGTAAGTTTTCCGTTGTTATAATTGATAAGATTCCAAGACAATGACGAAAAGCCGACTATTATTATTACTCATAATCCACCTGGGGAATCAATTATTGCCGAAAATTTTCTGAGTACATAAATTTCTCAAAAATTTTCACGAGTCGCGAAGCGAGTTAAGATAATTTCTTCAAATATTCATGTACGAGAAAAAATTCTCGCAATTAATTCATGCAGGTGTGGGAGTCGGTAAAAAAAATTTATACCGGAATTATACTTGGAAAAAAAAATTAGGGGGATATTCACTCTCCCCTGTTCCCTAGTAAAATGTAATTTATAGTATCGGATACATTATTATACAGGGTGAGTCATGAGGAACTGTACATACTCCTACCACGAATAGAGGCCCCTGAGGGAAATACCGAATGTCCATCAGAAAGTGTCTTCTACACTTCTTTCCCAATATAAAGGGTGAATTATGAGATTTGGCGAAAACATCTTTTGGGCATAACTTTCCAACCGCTGCCTAGATTCCTCTGATTATTCCATGGAATATTTCGCTACAACTCTCCAATCGACTTATTTATTCAGATTTGAGAAAATCCAGGACAGTTCTTGAAAAATTTTGATAGTTCAGTTAATGCAGGGCAAGAAGTTCATCCTGTATATCGTTCTTGTAAGCTGTGACAGGGAATTTTCAAGGCTCACAAATAAACATCGAGAATAAAATATCTCAAATTTTCCTCACAGTTTCACTGCAGTTTGAAAAGAACTATAAATTTTATGAAAAAACGAAAATTTGACGAAAAAATCATTCATTTGGAAATTGATACTTCGCAACCCATACATTTCACGAGTTGAAGTGAGACTTATCAACATATCATTTCATTTCCAGGCCTGGATAATCACCCTGTATTTTTTTTTTCGAGTCAGTAGATGAGGTATATGTGGAAAGGTTGATGGCAATTGCTATAAATAATTTCATGATTTCAATTCACAGTTTTATCTATTCGATTTGTTTTATTCAGTTATATAATTTGGTCACTTATTTTCCGTACTAGAATTATTATCCGTCGTTGTCAGTATAGCTTTTGAAGAATAATTGTGACTGAACATTCATTTTTCGTTCAACTATCTCGAATCATTTGAATAGATGCGATGTTCTTGAACATTATAGGGATTCCCTTTCGTGCGCTCCAAGCGATAAAAAAAAGATGTCCATCAGCATCTGAACAGATATCTCATCCACAGATTTGAAAAAGATCTACAGAGTGATTATTACACTTCACATGGCGAAATCCAGACCTGGAAATGGAAGAACATGTTGATTTTCATTGGGCTGGAACATTGAAAATGTGAGTCCCACATTTATTTGTAGAATCTATGCAATTCGAAATATAATTTTTCGCGAATGAATAAAATTTATTGTCAAACTTTTGTGAAAGTGTGAAAATAATTTTGAATATTTTATTTTTGATGCTTGCTTGTGTACCTTGAAAATTTCCTGTCACAGTTTACAAACACCATATACAGGGTGTCCAAAAATTATGCGCAAAAAATCAAGGAGGTGATTCTACATGATAAAATAAGGAATCAATTTCATATGTACGTGGGTCCGGAAATGCGTAGTTTTCAACATACAGTGTGTTAAAACTTTTAAAAATGATCGGTTTTTTATGAATATCTCAAATGTCCTTTCACCGATTTTCTTGAAATTTGGCAATGATATTTTTTGTCATGAGGGGCTGATAAAACTATAATTCAATTGGAATTATAAAATTCAGTGGCGTCCCGGAGGGCAACCTACCGAATATTATTGTTAATAAAATGTCCGCCACTGATTTTTTCGAATTTTGTATCTCTATAACCTATTGACCAACTAAAAATACAACATTTTGGTCTCTTGAATTGTTTCGATAATTTGCTTCATTTCCATGGAAAAAAATAAAAACCAATTTATTGCATACATTTTTGCCAAAAAATTCCTTCAAAAACTGGGGTGAAAATTAATGCGTGATCAATCCCCATAGACAAAGAATAAGGTTGAAGATTTATTTTCTTCAAATATTTCTTGATCCATGTTTGACACACTCTACACTCTGTATTTTGAGAACTATGTATTCTCGGTCCAGGAAGGCGTAGTTTTCGATAATACAAGGTGTGTCAAACATGTATTATGAAATATTTGAAGAAAATGAATCTTCATTCTTATTCTCCGTCCATGGACATGGATCACACATTTAATTCCACCCCTGGGGGTCTATTCTCGAGCGATATTCGTATACGAGTTCGATCTTCTATTCCACTTCAATATACGTCACATACATAAGTGCATCTTTCTTTATTCGTGTACGAATTGAATTCGAACGGTTCGAGAATAGAGCCCCTGTTCTTGAAGCAATGTTTTGCACAAATTTATACAATGCATTGGTTTTCATTTTTTTCTTCGGAAACGCAGGAAAATAGCAAAACAATTCAGAAGACCAAAATGTTGTATTTTCAGTTAATCATTAGGATATTTAGATACAGAATGTAAAACAATCAGTGGCGCACATTTTATTGATAATAATATTCGGTATGGTGCCCCCGGGACGCCACTGGATTTCACAATTCCTATTCAATTGTAGCTAAATCAGCCCCTAGTGACAAAGAAAATCATTGCCAAATTTCAAGAGAATCGGTGGAAGAATATTTGAGATATTCATAGAAAACTGATTTTTTCTAATAGGTTTAGCACACTGTATCTTGAAAACTATGCATTTCCGGACCCAAGTATATATGGAAAACGCAGTGGCGGACATTTTATTAACAATAATATTCGGTAGGTTGCCCTCCGGGACGCCACTGAATTTTATAATTCCAATTGAATTATAGTTTTATCAGCCCCTCATGACAAAAAATATCATTGCCAAATTTCAAGAAAATCGGTGAAAGGACATTTGAGATATTCATAAAAAACCGATCATTTTTAAAAGTTTTAACACACTGTATGTTGAAAACTACGCATTTCCGGACCCACGTACATATGAAATTGATTTCTTATTTTATCATGTAGAATCACCTCCTTGATTTTTTGCGCATAATTTCCGGACACCCTGTATAGGATGAACTTTTTGATTTAAACTAAACTATCAAAATTTCTGAAGCGGTACTGGATTTTTCCGATTCTGAATACGTCAATCGATGAGGGTTGAGTAGAGGAATATTTCATGAGAAAATCAAACGAATCGAAGGGGCTGTTGATAAGTTATGACCAAAAGATGTTTTTGCCAAATCTCACAATTCACCCTATATGTTGGTAAAGAAGAGAAGAAGAAACTTTCTGATTGTCATTAAATAATTTCAATTTCGTCTAATTATATGATAGTTGTCATGTGCCAGAAAATTTCCACTCTTCAATTTTACGTGCTCATGTGGATACTATAGTAACATTGTCTAAACAAAGCATCTGATTGGTTGAAAATGACAGGTATGGAATTTTTTTCATAATTCTATAGAGATAGTACCTCGTATTTTGACAACTTGCGGTGGTTTCGTGAAGTACCCCAAAACACTCCTATAGAACACATCGTTTTTTATATCAAATTTGCTACATTTATATGTAGAACTCAGATATACATTTTGAGCCATGTTTGAGTTAAGACGTCCGCGGCATTCATTTGAAATGAACACGCTATATTTCATTCAAGTTTTGGAATCATGAAAATTAAGATTCAGAATTATTGGATAACGCATAGAATTTGTACATCGTGTGTCCCAAATTCGATCCTCACCATTGGGATCCCGGTAGCTGTGAGAGATAAAGAGTGTTGAATTAGGAAAGTTTCAGCAAATTCCATCAAAGAATCCGTCGAGAAACCTTGACTATCTCCTGACATTCCTGAGTTATTCAAGGAAAACTGAAATTTTGTATTTTCGTTTTTCTCAAATATTCGAAAACTATTGATTATATGAAAAGACGACTATATTATTATGATGGTACTTTTTGAATGGTCATGTCGATTCTTGAGAACGAAAGAAAACAAAAGAGAAGGAAACAAAAGTTATAACATACAACTCATATCTCAGAAATTTGATATTTTTAACAAAATTGGGTTGAGCAGGTCAAGCAATGTTTTTTGTTCGCTGATGAAGAACAACGCTGGCAGAATTTCTTATTGTACGTCTCCAAGAGTGATACTGCCTGTGTTTCAGAAGCATTCCAAAGGAAATTACTGCGTTATGATTTAGAGAGATCATCGAATTCTTCATATCCCTCATCTACCGAGATCTGTGCTTGTGTCTTTATGGCCAAAACTGCCTGAGAGCTTCTCTGCCCATGTATATTGTGAGACTGATCACTCAATTACGAACTTGCAGCAGAAAAATCCTCAAATTAACCTTCAACGGCCTAGTTTACTCCATCGACACTGAAGTAACATGTTCAATTTGTAACCTACATGAAATCGAATCATTTGAACATGTCTTGTTGGTATGTCCAATTTACAGAGGCATACGGGAAAATGAACTTTTTGAGCATCTGAATAATATAGAAGATATCACTCGGCTTTTGAGCTACGGAACACTTTTACAACTCAAAACCTTGGTTCACTCAGTGATGAGCATTTTGAAACTCGGGTCATTCATTATCAACGAATAAACGTAGGGTTAAATACAGAGATTGTTACTCGAATTTTCTTTCCTTTTTTTTGTACACTACTCACACTTAATTGGTTCTTGAACTCTTAGCATATATGTATACAATTTTTTTTCACTCTCTTATTTTTAGAATTTTGAGATATAGTATTATGGAAACAGATTGATATAATTTTTCCGTTTTTCAACTCGAACTCCAACCCTTGTAATAAGAATTATAATTCTTTTGATACAATAAATGATCTATCTATCCATCTACCTATCTATCTATCTAACCATCTATCTATACAAAACACTCTCAATATAAACAATATAACATTATTTATTCACAGCCATATATGTGATGTTGTCATTACTAACGTCATTGGAGGCTGGGAGGTGTCACATTACACACCTCTACTTCCCGCCCTCACTTCCCGCCCCTCACTACTACCCGCCCTCACTTCTTGCCCTCACTCATGTATAATAATTCAGGTATGTTCAGAACGAAACATAGATTTATCAATTTTGATCGAAATATGATGGTTGTGAATAAAATATAGATAACCTCAACGCTTTGCGTCTCGATCAACTAACTAATCTCTCGACAGGAATGAATGACTTTTTGCCTCGGTGTGTTATATACCATTCCACCACTAGCTATGGAACCTACTTTTATTCACTCCTTTTTGAGGCGAAAGGTGTGTTTTTACTATCCACGTAGTTTTTTCTATTTTATGAACCACTAGTCTATAAAGACATAGCCACTTATGTTGTGATTAACCATAACACACTGTTCAGAGATTCACAGGAATAACACTCGAATATGATAAAAATCCATCAATTACGACTGGTCATATGCTGTCAAGGCTAATTATTCAAAAGAGTGCTTTCATAGTGGCAATAGGTCCATATATTGGTTTCACAGAACTGAAACCGGGTAATAATGATATTCCTCACCACCTTGATGTATAAATACCTATTAAATAATTATAGATAGCAATTACCTATATATCCAAAAGAATATCAGTGGAAGTTGAGTCACAAAAAAAAATCTGGTCAGGAATATGAAATACATATCACAGAAGTTGCGCTTATTACTTTCTCAACTAATTTCCAACCCACATGGAGTTTAGTGAATTCGATACAGCAGTGATAACTGATAAATATGATTGAAACAATATGGTTCATCTTCATGATAACGGAAAAAGTTCGATTTGAAACATTTCCGCTATCAACTTCTGCTTACTGCATGAATGTTGTCAACAATACACCTTGTGAGTTTATCAACGTAATATAAGACCACTTTGACATATAAAAAGTTTCAACCTATATTATCATTGTTGAGGACCCTAACAACACCAGTACATCCTAGGGACTTTCCAGGGACGTCTCTGATTTCATACTAGAACATCCCAAGGATATCCTTTGTCGGGATAACGTACATACTAGGGATGTCCCAGGGACATCCGCTGGCCAAAAAAATCATCCAAGGGATGTCTTTCTGGTACGTCCCTGGGATGTACCAAGTACGATGCAAGGATATCCCTAGGACGTCCCAAGGATATCCCAGGGACATCCTTTCGACAAGAAAAAAAGGTGTAGGTCGAGTAGGGATTGAACCCGGGACCTTTGGCTTATCATGCACGCACCTTGCTCCATTGGCTATCATGCCTCCTGAAGATGTATGTACTCAACAGATTTATAAACAGGACTTAACTCCAGAAACCTGAATGAATACAACTTTGTTATGAATTGGGTATAATTATTATCATTCTTGTGTGTTTAAAAATGAGGGGCATTATGCATGTACGATTTCTGTCTGCGAAAAATGGTTATTTCTTGAGAAGTTCTGAGACTTTACTCTTTATTTTCATTACAATCATTTTCCGGAAGAAAAATGAACATTTTCAAAAAAATTCAACTCAATAGTTTGATGAAATTCAATGACTCTGATGTGAATGGATATCAGATACTCCAGGGACACGAATAGAATAACCTAGGGATGTACCGGGCGGGATGTCCACTGGACAACCACTGCAGGATATCCCCTGTATGTCCCAATCATGTCCTTGTACCACGGGACAAAAAAGGGACGTACCTAGGACATCTTTGTGTTGTTAGGGGAGTGGTTCTCTTGGATCCTGCTTGAAACTTCTAGCTCGTCATTGGAGTTCAGATTCAGGTTCGAGTTGAGCAAAGCAAATTGGGCTAGAGTCCATAAAACGTTTCGCCCATGGCCATGAGCATTGTTGATTTAGTCAAATCATAATGATGATCTGTAGAGAGTTATGACATACAACATATCATTATCATCATAAAGCTAACTGAGTCTACTTCTGTTCTTGCGAAAGTACTTTAATCTTGTTGAATTTCATCCTTCCACTATGAGTTTTTGGAAGTTCATTCAAATTCCCAATAGTACATTATATTTGTTGATGTCATGCATTTCCTTTTTCTCATGAGTTTGTCAATATACTTTTCCTATTTAACATAGGTTTACATCTGGGGACAACTTTTCTGGAAGATGACTGGGATAAGGACATCATAGGAATTGAGGAATTGGACAGTTTCTTGAAAAATGAAAATGTGCTCATACTCTATGCAGTTATCGAAGAAATTGATGATAATAAACGTCTGAAGTTCTTCAAAAATGTGAGTTGATCATTGAGCAATGATTTTATGGTTCCTAATATTGCCTTCAGATTCAGATTGATGAGGTTTCAACTTCAGACTGGTGAAGAAACTCTCAGATGAGTTTTCACACCTTTGAGTTTTCTCACAATGAATTATGTATTTCTCACGAATATCTTGAAAGAATAGTTGTTGGGACATTTGGGTTATTGAATAATCAAGAACCTCACATATCCTACCTGAGAAAAGATGTTCTCCTGCTTATCTCTGCTTTGATAATAACATTGAAAAAAGGTTTTTGAAATGATATGTTTTTGAAGCCTTCCAGATTTCACGTATCAAACTTATGTGAATATTTACTCTGCACGTATTTAAATCATTAGACACGAAAAGAAAATAACTGGCGTTATACTGACATTTTCTATACATTCGTAGTGATTCTAATTTTTTTGCAGCTAGAAAAATTCAATCTGAGACATATAGTGGTTTTCAACAAATATAAACCCTCGATTCCTACAGAGAACAATTTTCTCCGTTTCATCCAAACCACCTCATTGTCAGATTCACCGGCATTGGCGTTATACAACAGTCTTAATAACATCTATACGCCGTTATTACAACAGGTTAGTACTTCCTTTCATATTATCGAGTATTGCAAATGTAAATAGAAAAATATCACTCTTACCCTCGCTCTTTTCGAAATCCCCAATCATAAAGTAACCTCTCCATCGATTACAGTGTAGTTTCGATCAGGTCAGCGGAGTTCATGGACTTTAGTTCCTGTAAAACTTGCGAAAACGCTCACCATGCAAAACAACTCATGTGAGCAATACCGCCAGGTAGCGGTCATTAATTGCAAATCAAGCATTCATTTCCAATATGAATGGAGCATTCATTCTAGAATAGATTCATTCATTTTGATCAATTATTATTCGACATTTATTATTTTGGCAATTATTAATTGGCATTCATGATTTGACTTCTGAAGTGGAACTATGCCAATTTGGTGGTGTGAGACTTTGGTGGTAATACATCTCCTCGACTCTGGTTTTGCTGCCCAATACATGGAGCAAAAAAAAACATCATCTTGTTTTTGATGTCCATTCGTTAGATGTTATTTAGAGTTTGAATCCGTGAAATATTATCATCAAAAGAATTATTTTGCAAAAGAATTTGAAAAAATATCGAAATTATGTACCAAGTGAACAGTAAAGGTTTTAAAGTCAGACTGACTATGAGATATGGAATATTATTCGAGTGAATGAGAAGAATCAGCACTTGCCGTTCGTTACCATGAGTACTCTCGAGGTCTCTAACGGCGGAGACTTCAGAAATCGCTGATTTAGGGTGGAATCAAATTTCAACTACTTCATCCTCTGAAGAAGTTTTGTGAGGAAGGAACAGAACTGGAGACTCTGGTGCTGGCTTTTGCGATGTCTTCTTTGGGCAGGTGAGGAATCGGCAGAACCTCTAACAAATGGCTGCTAGGATGGCTGCGACGACGATATATACCGCGGCTGTACAAAAGTGATTGTGGTCGGCGGCTTCTTCGATGACTTGGGGTTGTAGACGTACTTGCTCGCTTTGGATTTGGTGGAGTTCATCGAGGGCGACTTTTCCTAGGTGGATTGGGCTCAGATATTTGATCGGCTCACTGTCGATGGTCTCGATTATTGGGCAGGGTTAGCGGTACTTTGTGTTCCCCTTCTTTGGAATTCATTTAGCTGACTTTGGGGGTATGAAACTCACAGCAGGGTGATTACTCGATGAGGAATGTTCCTTGAAGAACTGATATGCCTGATACTTGGAACTGAGTGGCGATTTTCGTCGATTGTGGAAATATACCAACATAGTGGGCTTCAGTCAGTTGTTAGATCAGACTGATATTGATCGATATTATTACTAGTTGGCATTGGGCGGCTTCGTCTGAGAGTTGAAGAATCTAAGAGATGCAATCTGGACTAAGGGGTTTGATACTCAATGGCAATATCGGGGCGAAGGTAGCCAAAGTCGATCTTTCGACATGGTCGATCTGTATACTGTTGGAGTTTTGTATTCAGTGTCAGATAAGGTGTGGGTGGAATAATGGTGATTGAGTTACTAGTAGAGATTGAGAATAAATGATTATGATCGGATATATCTGGGATTAAGAGTAAAAAGTGTGGAATAAAAACGTGCTTCTGAGTAATAGTAGGCATCGACTGATATGACATCATATTTCAGCAAATCCTCTTCGTTCGTATACAGGAGTTGTTTCTCTGAGTGGTGTGTTAGCATAATATCGGTTATTGATTTCAATTCGCTGGTTCCGATGATACTATATTATGAAGAGTATTGATTTCTGCAAAGGTAATTGCATTTTCTAGATCGGTGAGTAGTTGGAGTATTGGCTGTAACGAGAGGCTTATATGGTCCAGAATAAATCTTGTTAGCATGTAATCATTGAATTTGGATACGAATTTGTTGAGTTTGGATAAAATTGTATCGATTTCTCTAACAATTACATCTTGGTATCGTGTTATTCAGGTAACTGTATCGTTAAAATTTTGTTTGAGTCGAGGTGTGTGTGACATGTGTTGATTCAAACGTTGAATAACATTCTTTTGGTTGCTTTGGAGGGTAGTTATAGCGTTATCATATTTTTCGGCATCTTCATTGTCCAATTCACCAAATATAGCTTGAATAATGCTGCCGAAGGCATTGATGAAGCCTTCCTCACTTTCGTGAGACGGTTAAATTGTCTGCGATTTTCGATGAGCTATGTCTAATCGGTATGTATCGTAACCCTTGGTGAAAATTCTGAAGGCTGTCGAAATACGGGTGGCTTAGTCCATCAGCGATAGCGATTGTAACCTTCTCATACTGGTCTGTTTGATCGTCTGTTTCCATGGCGATTAGTGTGATGTTGTTGTAGTGTATGGAATCATGGGTTGAAAAATATAGAAGAAGCAGAAAAATGTATAATCAAATTGAAGAAATCTCTGCTCAGTAAGCTTCAATTCCATATCTACTAATCATTCACCATCTGATAACTTGTAATAGATTATAATATTTTCATTTCATATTTTATTATAATTTTTTTTTATGAGAAACAATAGTTGTGCAATTCTTATTGTTTCGATTCATTATGTTATATGTATGTTTTGTTATATATATCCCTATTATAAACAATAATGTTTCTTGGGGTGATGAAGACAATCAATCAATCAATCAATTTTTATTTTGGCTTGGCAAAGCTTGAGGGGTAGGATCCCTTGGTTGTCTTCGAGTTCCTGGATTTTGATATCCTGTCCCAGTACGGGAATCCATCTGTAACAAAGATTCACGATCAATTGTTTTGCGTTTTCCTATTGTTCTTTCTTTGATCTCGATTGATTGAGTTCCTTGTAGATTTCCTTGGCTTCATCTTTGTGTTGGTGAGCATAATTATTGAGCAGTGTTTTTTCAATATCAATATCGAATGGGTCCAAGGGTTCCAAATGTCCATTTCGAATGTCAATCGGCTTTTGTTTGGTGAAGAAATGCATAGAGTCGTATGGCTCAGCATATGGCATATTATGTTCTTCCATATCAAGTTTGAATTTTGGCTTTTTATAGCTCGAAGATGTTCTACAAGCGTTGATAAAATCATTCCATCATACCGTTGGTATGAGGGTTTTCTGGTGTCGTATAATGAATTGTTATCTCATGAGTATCCATGGAATCTCACATGAGTCCATTTATGAACTCTGTTCCATTGTCTAAAATTATTAATTTTGGGAGTGCATGATGTGTAATTAAAATGAGAAGTTCGTTTATTATATTCATTGCATTTGAATCATCTTTGATGTTGACTTGAGCATATTTGGAGAATGCGTCAATTAAAGTGGAAAATGTTTGCTCGTTCGCCTGGAATGTGTCGATATAAACAACTCTCATTGGTTTTGTAAGTGTCGGTGTGATCATGTATTTGAGTTCCGCTGGTTTTTTGTCATATTGATTTGCTTGACAGATTTTATAGAAATCAATGTATTTTTGGATGTATCTAATATTTTATTGACGGCCAATGATATTTTTGTCTTAGCTGCATTTCTTTCTCGTTGATACCCCTATGGTTGGTTTTTCCCCCATGATGGTTTTTCATGATTTCTCGCTGTTTTTATTCGTTGGCAATATATTCTAATATCTCACTACATTCGACTTAATCATATGTAGTGTTTCTGTATGTACTCTGAATTATATCGCATGTATTGGTAGTTTTCATCTTGATTGAAATATAAGGCATATTTTATTTTTGGTGGAATATAGTCTTTGAAGAATTATATGATGGTGTAGTAGATACCTATTGTCAATGGCCTTTTCAATAGTCCGGTACTATTCTCCATTCGCTTTTCAGAGGCGTCTGGTTCCTTAGGAACGACCATATTTGTGAGCTCGTGTGATTTGTTGTTCTAACTTGGACGAAATTTGGTTTTGGGCTCCTTCTTAATGTACGTGTGGGTACCTTTGAAAATTTCTTTATAAAGCTATCTCGTCTTCGGTCTCAATATGGTGTTTCACCTGATTCGTAAATGTCAGTGGCGTATGAGGTCAGTGAAATATGTCTAAGTATTTTCAAAACGAAGTAAAAATCTGTTTCCCTTCTCCTGAGCTTGAATGGTCGATCCTGATCAAGCTTTTGATATCGAATTCTTGTGGTGCCAATGGGTTCATGTCTGCTGTGTATAGGTGGTAGTCATACAGATGTATTGGTTGGTTTCGATAGGGTGAGTTGTAGTGTTTGATCGCTGCTGTTGATAAGATCAGCCCAGGCCAATCGATTGCATGCTTGGCCTAATGTCTCTCGCGATAAGGCTCCTAGAATTTCATGTTGTGGTAATATGATGGGTCCTTCCTCTTATTCAACAGGAAGTCTAACTCAAGTAATGGAACGGGGGTCTAGCGGTACAGAGAAATATTGCTTCTGATCTGTTTCGAAGTATTGGATAGGAATATTAGAGTGTTGCGTGATTAATTTCGAGTTAAGAAAATCTAAGTCAGCTTGCAATGATTTGAGATTGTCTATAATTCAATCAAACCGTCGAGAGTTAAATGGGATTCGAAGTGATAGAATTTAATTTTTGGATTATTCTGAATTAGAGAAACTCAGAATTTCAGCACGATGGTCCTTACATGTAATACAAATTCAATATTTTTTTCATGCAATATCAGGGTTGTGAAACAATTTTGTTGCTTTGGTATCAATAATTGGTTTCTATGTTGGATCGGCAATACTCATATATGGCAATTCTTTTTTGTCTGCAATGTTATTAAGTTCTACTTTATCTCGTGATTTTGAGTGTTGTCTGCCTAAAAATAACGTCGTCAGATGAGAATTCCAAGTTCTCTTCATAGGTATAATCTTCTTTGCTCATCGATGTGATCTTCATGATTGTACGGATACGAGGAGTTTTCATACAATTGTTCTGAATCTTGGTGTATCAAGTTGTACACTTCTTTAGATACATTTCGGAGTGGGTAATTCGGATAATAATTGTTCTGGAAGGGCCTTCGATATTAACTTGATGCTCCTGCTGTATTTCTGGTACGTATTCTCATTTGAGTCGGCCTTTTCTGGGTTTGTGTTGTATTTCTTGAAACTATACTCGTTGATGTATTCCAAGGTTAAAAATTTCCTGAATGGGTTGCGTGCAAGAACTGTCAGATGATCGACTCTGGAGGTGAAACATCGAAACACAACCTAAATTTTTATATTTGTTCACAAATGATTGGAATAGCTTTTCACAATTATTCTGGCATACGAATAACGAGACGAATAATGTTTTTCTGCTTCCCATTGATTCGCGCATGCCATCACATTGTGCTGTTGTACAATGCACCGAGGGACGAATGAATCCAGTTGTTACATTATGATTCAAAAGTAAGTACCTACTATAGTCACTCACATATAGTTTTCATTTTGATAATTGGTCATTTCTCTGATTCCTCATCGAAGTTCCTTCTGCGATAAGAGCTGATAAAAATATTATTGAAATTTCTAAAAGAATGCAAGAAGATTGGATTCATGCAATCAAACGAGAGGACTGGTCTGACATGCTGACGAAATGTGAACGTGTATGTTGTAAACATTTTTGATCTATTAGCAGTATTATCTCCAATTGCAGATGTGGCAGAAGGAATTCCGATGAGGAATCACGGAATTTTATGATGAAAATTATGTGAGATAACTATAATTACCTGGAAAATTATATATTCCTTCGTCTCTCGCTGCATTTTTAGTTCATTGTACAATAGCACAATGAGAGGGCATGCTTGAAATCATGGATGGCGCAAAATACACGATTTGTATTCCCAAAAGTATTGTGGAAAACTATATCGATCCTTTCAGTCTTCTGTGAACAATTAGAAAAAGTAAGGTTGTGTTTCAATGTTTTACAAAAAAGTGAGGTTGTGTTCCAATGTGTTAACTCCAGGGTCGATTATCGTACACGCAACCTATTGTTTCATGGAGCCCATACATTTTGGGGTTTTTAAAAAACTTGCTTATTTGTGAAACATTCTTGGAGTGGTTGATTATTGATTCTCTGGGGAAGGTTAATTTGGTCCTTGCGAGAATGCTGGTCTTGATTGCGTTATCAGTTGAGAGTGCCAATTTTCATTTCTTAATGTCTTTCTTGGCCATCTTGACTTGACGGAATCCACTGGCAAGGTCGAGTGTCGTAAAGTACTGACATCGTCCAAGCTTGTCGAGGATGTCAGATATATTTGGTAGTGAATAGCTATCGTCAATGGTTTTCCCATTAATTTTCATTATTTTATTATCACTTTTCTCCGTTTGATCTTTCGAGAGGCGTCCGGTTTTTAGAAACGACCCATATTGGTGAGGACCAGGGCGAATTGCTGGGTCGCATGATTTGTTGTACTAACATGGTCGAAATTTGGTTTTGGACTTCTTCTTCATGAACGTGTAGGTACCTTCATGACTTTGTATAAACAGGTATTTCGTATTTGGTCTCAATATGGTGTTTTACCTGATTCGTGAATGTCGGTGGCGTATCAGGTCAGTGAAATATGTATAATATCTGATTTTTATTCTCATTTTGACATTGTATGATCCTTCTGATTCATCTATCATTTGCTTGCAGTTACTCCTGGCTTCAATATATTCTGTTTTGGTCACGAGTAGGCCTATCCCATTTCATATTTTATCAAAACAAAACACGTGAAATTGAAGAGAAGAAAATCAGCTTGATCATCCATTGATTTAAATAATAATTTTAAATAAACACTACTGTTTCCTTCCACCTCTTCTCCTGAGGAGTTGTAAGTATTGAGTTAATAGCAGTGATTATATTATATTGTTCTCACTTTTTGTTTCCATTTCCACCATAGAATTTGAATTGAATTACTTATATTGATCTGAGTCACCTTCAACAAGAATTATGAGAAATATCTCAGGAAGTTTGACCTTCTTGTTCACATAGCATTTCATCATCATCTTTCAACAATTTCATCAAACAAGGTTTTATGAATGTCAACCAGAAATTACCCTTTTCAAAGACTGGAAACATGAAGCTCGTGGTATTTCATTGAATAAGTTTATCGATTGTTTGAGTGGTTCGAATTTGCGACAAACTTTATAAGATCTTCGTAACTCATTTCTGATCTTTTCGATTTTCAGAACGAGATGTCAAACTTACCTAGACAAATAGCAAATTTGCAAAATGACCTTCGATCAGCCATATTGTCGAGTGATCCAGGAAACACTCAGATATCGTCAGAAAATAAGCTTTCCAACATATCCACAGGTAAATATTTTATTGGTGGAGAACCTTCAAGGGGATGAGGATTCATGAAATATAAGTTCCGTTTCAGTATTCGGAGTTGTCTATAAGTTTGACAAAATAGAGGAGCGCTCCACTCATTATTGCATCGAGTTATCAAAAAATGTTTTTTCAATCGAATTCACGAATCGAGTTATTCTTAATATCTCTCGAAGCGCACGAAAGCAAATTCCTGTGATGTTCGAGAAACATCGTGCGTACCAGGGAAGTTTCTGGGAATACTTCCATTAACAAATCATTTCAAAGCTTTGGCGTCCTACAGACGAACCAGTGTTGGTGAAGTGTCAAGATTGACAACGAAAGGATGTGCTCACTGGGCTTGTCAAATTCGTCTGACTGGTATTGCTAGTTATGGTAGGTATGATGTACAACTTCCGGAGCATCGGCTGAAGGAAGTCCTATATAATTCATGCTCCTTACTCACATCGGTCCTATGAGTTTGAATGTGAAGGTATACAGGGTGATACTATAAGAATGGGCAACCGCTCAACTACGGATAGTGACCACCAATATAGGAATATTTAGCTAGAAGTGGTTCATAAGTAGAACCCACTGGTTGTGTGAATGAGTTCATCTGAAAGTTTCTTAACTCTACAAGTTATAACACCAGCATGGTCATAAAATTTTGAAGTCTCATGTTTCCTTACATGAAAAATACAAATTTTTGACTGTTTTGTGAGTGCTCATAGGAGGCCTAGTGACACTCTTGTTATCTTGTTACTCCAGAACGGCACACAGTGAAAATAAAAATCTTGAAACAAAGCAGAAAATTAACCAATCAAAATCTCACTCTTCTCTTTTCAAAAAGGAATATTTCATCGAACTGAGATGATTCATCTCAATTTGGAACTCAACTTTATTCTTGGAATGATAAAATTTAACTTTCGTTTCACGCAGCTTCAAATTCTTTGAACAAAACAGTGAAGAAACCAGCTGAAATCATTAATTTGAGGGGAAATAAATGACTTCAAGAAAATATTTTCAAATGTTTGGAGAGATCGAAGAAGTACTCTGAACAAGAATATGATGAATTTTCATCGAATTCATTGGATGGCTTATTTGAAGAGATCTAAATACTCATTTCAAAATAAGCGATGATCTTTTATTGGAATTCGCTTCTATTTCTGTTTGGAAATTTGCAATTTACTCCAAATGAAAAATTTCACAGCCTCCATTGAAAACTGCGAAAACTTTCGACATAAATAATCAGCAGCTTCACTAGATGTCGGCTAACTCTACTCAAGATCACCTTATTCTATTTGTTAGAAAACTTATTTCATCAATGTGCACCAGAATTAACACCGATTCTCTGCAAGTTGTTTACCGTCTCGTACAGGTCGGGTATTTTTCCATCATGCTGGAAGACAGCTAGAGTCCAACCAATCCCCAAAAAAGGGAACAAGAACCTGTCCAACAACTACAGGCCCATTGCCCTGTTATCAGTTATCTCCAAAGTGATGGAGAAAGCTTTCAATATAGAGCTTATCAAATATCTGGAGAGATCAGGAATCATCGAGTTTCCAGATATTATATATTTCGCTTGTGGTTTCAAGTTTTACATATTTCACCAGGCCATTTACTCCATGATGTCACTGCGTCCAAATATTTTCCAATAGAAGCGTCTGGAAGAAAAACGCAATCGAATTTCAGTGACACCTTGTTTTGGAAATCGTGAAATCTTTATTTTCAAACTTTCAAGAAAAACTGCCATACCCATGTTGTCTCTCAATATTCTATCCCTTGGTCACACGATGTTCAGTTCAGTTGCAAACATCATTTCATTATCTTTATATCTCATGATATGCAGTATATCCCGTTGTTTGTGATGTTCTTGAATGACAAAATGCGAGAATGAAATGCTTTCTTCATGCAAACTGAAGTACCTACCAAATCAAGGCCCATCCTCTACTTTCAAATTGAAACATTAAAAAAAATTGAAAAAAAAATCATGGGCCAAGATCATAGCATGGTTCGTCAGGCAACACTCTTCAAGCCTCAATTCGATTTGTACAGCAGCAAGGCATCTCTACGATACCACACCAGAAAATATACCAGTCCGCGGTGAGGCACAGTATATATGCCGCGCTGCCCCAGGAGCAAAACTATGTGTGGCACGCGCACTAGACCTCACGGGGCTCAACTGGTTGACCACTTCATGTGAATGTATAATTCATGGTTTTTCATTGTTCTGTTGTTAACTTCTCATTCACCAATGTTAAATGGTATTATTGGATAAATAGATATTCTAGTCTATTTTATGATATAATAATGAATAATATATATCTTGGTTAGTTAGAAAATTCTAGGTTCGATTATAATTACAGGTTTTGATCGATATATCAGTCGTTTTCTGATTACGTCTTGATGACCGATGCATTATTGAGATATCCAAAGTGCTCAAGGACAAGAAGGGAGTTCAATAATATTCTTCATCCGTAATATATTATGAATTTGTGCCAGTTTCCAGTTTCAAGATAATATATCTTTTGCTTGCGATTTTAAGTTTCATTTATTTCACCAGGTCATATACCCCATAATGTTACTGCTTCCTAATATTTTTCAATAGAAGCGCCTGGGAAAAAATTTCAATCGATCGTCAGTGACACCTTGTTTTGAAAATTGTGAAATATGGATAGGGATATCGGGAAAATTTGAAATTTTCACTCTGCTTTTGAAGTTTCAGGAACGAACCAGTATCCTTTCTCAAACCAAAAAAAAAAGGAGAATGTCTTCCTCGAATTTGATGAAAATGATGATTCCAGGATGAATGAATGAAAACATCTTGTAACTCATTTGATTGCATCAACATCTGTAACTGAGAAGTGTTAATACTGAAATGGAAAGACAATACGAGAAAAATTATATCTCCCATTTCTTTATTTTTGTAATATATGTAGGGGGCGAAAAACTATATTGTGCCCCGAGTGCCCAGTGATCCTAATCTGACCCTGTGCGAATGGTGGTACTAAATATTGCAATATCAAGCATACCAAGTCTATCTAGAGAGAATGTAGACATGATTTTTCGTGGCGTTGAATCCAACTGGGTTATTGGTTTCGTTGATAGCCTTGATCCGAGCGTTGATCTACCTATTCTGTTGCCTGGCTAATATGAATATTATTCTAACGAAAAACAATGTTCTCAAGATATCAGACAGAGACGAACACAATTCTGATTTCTTCATGAAAATTATACAGAATGTAATTTGATTGATGGCTGAAAGTTGGGGATATGGTTCCTTAGCTCAATTTGAGAAGGAAAGTTCAAATGAACATATTCCCTATACCTCTAAACCTTCGTTGAAATTATAAGAAAAAATTTGTTTTCTCAATATAACTTCAATACTGTTCTAGATATTTTCATGAAATTTGACATGCACCCATAGGCATTTCATGTTGTCGGAGATTTTTTTATATTTTTACCAGTGGTGTCAGTTTAGGATGTATCCTGGAGATTTTGAGAAAGAAATTGTTATACGCACTTGATTTTTCCGAGAATGAAACTCTTTCAAAAAATCCTCATTTATTTTTCTCAATTCAACCTTCTTAATTTTTTCTATCCGACAAATCTTTTCCGCGTGAAAAAATAGAAACTTTCTCATGCATTTGCGGCATAACGGAATTATTCTGATCCAATAGGCTAGTGCCCTTTTCCATTTTTGATATAATGACATTTGATCGATTATGTTGCGTTCTTATTTTGACAAGTATTCATGAACGTGACAGTGTTATACATTGTAAAAGTTTCTTGAATGAAAAAAAAAATGAAATTTCAACACCCTATAGTTCGAAAATTGAGAGGTTTATAGGTAATGTTCATTGGAACTTGCAATATGTGTATGTGCCGATAAGTCATCATGAATTTACAAACATTGCAGATTTATCATTGTGATGGATACAAAGCGTCACCTCCTCAGTTCATTTGGAACATAGTTTTGTTATATGTTGATGACTGTAATGATATTTTCTTGCTGTCAACAGTCTAAAGTAATATATCTTAATTATTTTTCAGTTGTTAGTTCACTTGAACACGAAGTATCTTATTGGAATAACATCACGCCGAACCCAAGGAAGGACAAAATCACTCAAGCAGCTTGTCATTCTTTCATATATCTGCTTTCAACAGTAGCTGGAGATTTCAGGTAACTATAGACTATAGACGATTGTTGCTCCAAAAACCAAAACATACTCATAGTAGTCATTTATGTCTCAAGTGCGTAAAAGATGATTTTATAGACCGCAGCGTGTAAATGAGCAATAGAGAGGGCTACCAATACGAAGCAAGTTACATTCCATGCACAACCAGTAGGGGAGGTCCGCCAACAGTGGCCATAGCGAGTACAGTGGCCACCCTCTAGTATTATCAGACTATGATGAATTCTTGTCGCGCCATCTCGTATAGTGCTTGCGGAATACGAGTAATAACGACATATTCGATCTAATGTCCAGTCCGTTTCTCTCTGTGGCAGTTTTATTTTTTGTTGATTTTTGATCGGTACAAGTTACGGATATCAGTATATTTTCCATTGGATAACATTCTCATAAGTGAGATTACTGATGTAAATTCATATTTATCATGAAAATTTGATCTATTTGAACAACGTCATGAGGTGAAGATGTGTAAAATCAAACTATTATTTTGAGGTAACATCGGAGTGATTCCAAAAAAAAAGTGGCCACTGGCTTCCAAATATAAAGCAATGGCCACTGTTTCAATATATTCAATTTCTCATTGCAGAAAATAATCATGCCTCGACCAAGACCAAAAAGTCCTAGTTCAATTGAAAATATCCCTTCAGAAACTATAAAAAATGCACTTTGTAGTATAAAATAACATAGACTTACTATGAAAGCAGCTGCGATACGATACAATATTTTCAAAACTACTCTCACATGATCTGTCACGAAATTTGAAGAATTTGATGATAACGCGAATGTAACTACAAGATCAATTTCAAATTATGTGGTAAAACGTTCATTCTCAACTGCAGAAGAGCTCTTCAATTGCCTTCAAATTCATACGAGATTGCATTATGAACTGACACCTGAGAATAGTCGAATATTTTCATTTTCATCAGGAGTGACAAACAAAAAGCAAATTCCGCAGTCTTGGCGATAAAACCAAATAGCATGTATCAAGATATTCTTATCATTTGATATCTGTTTCACTTTATATTGACGGTATGGCCATTGTACCATTCATTTCTGGCCACTGTACCCTACTAATTGGGAGCAACTGGCCTTATTATTGCACTTTCTCCATAAACATCCATTAACACACTTTTCTGAATCTATTATTTCACTTCGATTGATCCAATTCCAACACTGCAAAGATATCTGATGTCCAAGATTTCCTAATATAGGCGGTCCTTCCCTATATTCAATATTTCGTTGTGAATACATCTTCACCTCTCGAAAACGATAGACACACATCATGGCTGCAGAGAGGAATTTTTTTTTCATCACTTTATTTATACTGCCAAATCAACAGGCCATGGCCCAATTACAGACAGACAGTAATGTTCCTATCTCGGTTCCTAACCCACAGTAAAATACACTACTCACAAAAAAAAGAGAAATACACTACACAGAAAGATTACAGTACACTCAAGTTTTGGGAAAACAGTTGGGTTAAGATAAAAAAATCAAGACGTTCATGACTGAACATCTTCAAAAATATTGAACATATAATAATATAGCCTATAACTAAGAATTTTGAGAATATTAAAGAGGTGAAGAACAGCCTTTTATTTCGCTACTACTAAATGTAAAAATATCTATATCACAGTTATATTCATTTACAGCTCTTTGACATTTTCCAAAAGGTGAGCAAGATTTAACATCAATGTAGAAAATAATATTTTTTCTTCTCCGTAGTTTTACTTCAGGTACATGAATGTTTATTTGACTAAGTAGATCAGGTACATTCAGTTTATTACTGAATATGTCTGAAACAAACAGCACATCATTGATATCTCTTCGGGACTCTAGTGTTCTTTGCTCAAATTCCATGAGTTGATTTCTGTATGAGATCATAAAAGCAGATTCTTTATGTTTCCTGTAGTATAGGTTTCTCAGAAATTTCCTTTATACGTTTCTATCATTTCAGAGTATACACTGGTGTTGGGATTCCATATAACTGAGGCATATTCTAGTTTAGGTCGTACAAAAGCATTGTATAGAAGTATTTCGGTTTTCCAGTTGAACTGATATGAATTTCTGAGCACAAAACTCAAGCTTCTGTAACTGTAGTTCACAATATTCTTGATATGGGAGGTAAAAATGATTTTTTTTTCGAAAACTACCCCCAGATCTCTGAAATCTTGTACCTTTTCTAGTCTAGTTTTATTCACCCAGTAATCTGTATCAATGGGATTAGTTTTACGAGTAAATGATATGATTTTGCATTTATTTTCATTCAGAAGAAGATCATTTGACTTGCAGAACGAGATGAGTCTGTCAAGGTCTTGTTATTGATACAAACGGCGTAACCATGGTAACTCAGTCAATTCTTTGAATTCGGAGTTGACTATTATTTTTGCTGTCAATTATTGTCATCACAGACAAATTATTTTGGGTTCGATCATAACATTTTGCATCTTGAAAATATCGAGAGAACTGTAATATCAAACAAGAAACCATCACAACTATTACATCAATTTCCTGAATTGTACAGCAATGCCTTTCAAAAGTTACCTATACGCCTGGCGGTGAGGTAGTTCGCAGGCGGTGGAGTCCTACTTCACGCCCGGTCGTGCTTGAAACTAATTGAGGAACTGTTGTAGGTCCAATTCTTCTCCCCATTAATAACAATGACATATCAAAAACATATATTGATGGACATATTTTCCTATATATGCTGATGGTCACAAGCTGTATCTAATGCGAAATTATTCTTTAAGGCGTCAATAATCTTTTTCAAGAAGAATCCGGCAATGACCAATAAAATCAAACATAGTTATGATACAAGAAACAAAATAAAAATTGTTCGACTCGAAATTCAAGAAAAACATTCTAGTTTTATTGGATCTAAAATTTATAATGAAATACCATCAAATTTGGAACGCCCAAATATCATAACTTTCAGAAAATAATTTGAAAGTTGGCTTATATACAATGCGAAAAAAATCGATGATCTTTTCTAATCAACTCTATTTTTATTCATTTCAATTCATTTTCATCATTGTATGAATTGATCATTTGTTTTCAGTTCAACTATATTTATATTGTGAAAAAACAATTTAATACGTGGAATAATTCATCTCTTTCACATACTTGATAGTTATTCGATGACATAATGTAGATTTCACTTGATTCAGTGAATGAATAATATTAATGATAATAATAAATGGCCAATTTCGGAACATCCATCGATTGGAATTAAATCAAACTCTTTCATCAATTTCAGCATCATAGACGCTTTGTCCATCAATGATGTAGAAGATTTACTTGAGAGAGCTCACAATATGCTGGATGACTTGTGGAGACATGATCCTCCTTACCCCAAAGATCGAATTAGGCCCATCATCGACATCATTGGTGAGTAATAATTTGTTGACGTTGCCCAAAATGTACGTTGCAGATAGCGTCATACATAAAAGTCTCCGAATAACCTATTTCAAATCCTAAAAATTATTTGAATCTTCCGTTCTTCATATTCTTCCAATTCCCTGGATTATTCAAACTATTCAGAGTATTTATATGCTTCAGGTCTTCGTATTTTTCAAATTTCTCGTATTCACTTAATTCTCGAAATTCTAATAGTTTTCCAAATTCTTCAAATTATTCCACTTCCTCAAATTCTTTTACTTCTTCAAATTGTTTCACTGCTTCAAATTGTTTCACTGCTTCGAATTTTTTCACTTTTTCGATTTCTTCAGATTCTTTGCACTTTCTCTGATTCTGTACATTCTCATATTCCGAATGTTCTTTGAATTCTTCAAATTCTCAGAATCGCTTGGATTCTCCGAATCAATTTGATTCCGCAAAATCTCTGGAGACTTGAACGTGTTAGAATTCTCCAATTCTAAGAATTTTTCAAATTATTGAATTCATTCATTGCCTTATTTATTGTAACTCATTGACTGATTTTGAGACAACATATCTAGAATTTATGTAATATTAATCAGTTTACCATGTGAAAAGTCATCCTGATAAAAACAGACGCCAATCTCCATTTGGTTTCGAATATAGGATGATTATTTGTTTCTTTCAAATTATCGAAATCATTCGTATTCTTCGAATCCTTAAAATTCGACAAAATTCCTCACAATTCCTGAAAACTCATCAAAACTCTTTCAATACTTGGAATTTTTCGAATGATCCGGAGTCTACAAACTGAATCAATCAAATTATTTCCAAATCTTCTGGATCCATCGAAAGAAACGTCCTTCAAATAATTGAATTTTCAAGCGACTGAATATTATGTGTGAGAATAGTGAAATTTCTCATTCTATCAAATATCTGAATAAAGCCCTCATTTTTTCCATTTCCCAAACAAAAAATTGAAAAATATTTTTTCCTGATTTTGATATATAATTCAACACTTCCTTAAACTGACGAAAGTTTTAAAACGTCTTATATTACGTAACAAGTTTTTCGTTGAACAAAATCCCATCGTATCACAAAACGATCGTTTTCCAAACTGTTTACGTAAATTTATATTCTGCATGGACTCGACAGATGTCATTGATCTCATATATTTCAGCATCTGACGTGTGGAAATACAGTTGCAACCAGTTGAGGAAGGTGAACCTCTGGACAGATGACTATATCGAGACATCAGATGTGCTGCAGCAACAAATCTCTATAGGCGAGAAGTGGTTAGATAGCTGCAAGCAATTGACAGAGATATTTTGGCCGAACTATCCATCACATCCATGGAGAGAGAATGTATACCAACCTTCAGAGCTGGTTAAATCAGTAGCAGCATTGCGAAAGGTATCTACATACGTACTGAACTCATATCATCTAAAGCGGTCAAAAATAGAACGGAAAACCAAGAAATTTCGTTCTCCGCAAAAAAAATTCAGATAGTTTTTGTATTTCAATATTCTAGATTAAGGATTCTTCTAGATAGATATATATTCTATATTCTTTTACCCTGATTGGTGATGCCACACTCACTAAATACTTGAAAATATTAGATCAACCTACAGAAAAGATGATGGAATAAATACCCTTCTATAGATACTTCCATGGAATATTTTCTTCGGAAACGTAGTCTATCATGCGATCACTAGCAATATCATTAAGACAAATTCGAGGAGTTCATTTATATTGTAACCCTACTTTCCTTGAACTAAAATATGACAACTGTGCAGACGACAACTCTTTGTCGGTGGGCACTCTAGGTTCGTTCGCAAACAAATAATAACTCACCCAGAAGTTATATATACCTACGAATATGTAAGTTTTAGAGTGTCAAGAGTCAAATAAATGAATGGGAAGAGACAATCTTCAACTATTTGCACTATTTGATAATCCATTTGGCGAATATGTAGGACTCGTGCTCGAAGGTATATTCATTATCCTTTAAAACAAATTTTGAGTGTGGAAATTATTATAGAATATGTGCTCAATCATATTTGAATTCTTGAATTCTATGAATCAATAATATCAGGATTTTAAATTTCTCTGTATGTTTGGACGCTACCAGAGTCATAGCTGTATTTGGGAAATACATTCAAGTATATGAATTACTTATATCTGGCAGCTCATAGTGCTATATGATGGGTGGAAATAATTATAATAATTTGGGATGAAATTCAAAATAACGCGTTTTCGAATATGAACAGAAATTCAATATATTCCCTACCTGTCTGAAATATAATAAGCAATGTGAAAATGAATCAAATTTAACCCTCTTATGGTCATTGAAACCTGATTGTGCTGCAGTCTACTTCACTAAGCGACAATCTCGTGAATGATTAAGAAGGGCACTTGCATAGCTTTCAACAGTATTTTGTCGAGATTAATAATACAGTAGCCTTGGTAAACCTACCACCGGAGATATACGACCAAAATATAGGCTATCAGGGTAACCATGTATTAGTTGTATTCCGGAAACGCAGATGCCAACATGTGCTATCCCGACATGAGCGAGTCCAGGGATACAAGAGACTCCAGGTAGCAACCTTAAAAGTTCATTCTTTCTTGATTTCCTTGTTGAAATACACCACAGAACAGAAGAGCAGATGTAGATTTCATGAAGGAATGGTGCTGTTTAGAACTCAGCATGAACTGCAATACACGTGGTTGGATCCTGTAGCAAAAGTTATTGTCCAAATGCTTGCAGGTTCCTGTTGGGATCTAGGCAATACGTCTTGTGGATTTCGGAAAACAGCGCGTCTTCAAATCAAACAATGTTGGAACAACACCTCTCAGAGACATACTCCTCTTCAAAGTGTATCCTCTATCATTTTTTACGTCATATCAAAGGATCGTGAATGTTTTAGAAGAAAATCTGACATCTCTTGCCTCATATTCTGCGGAAAGTTCGAATCTTAAGTAAAAATGTATCTGACCAGTTTCTTTCGTCTTATCAATCACTTCACGGCTCATCGTCACCAACCTTGAATCATCCACTAAGGACGCATGTGTAGGCATCCACAAGAGGCCACCACAGACGTGTCGTACATCCTCAGATCACTCACAAAAGGAAAGGAATCTGAGGAGACAATAATAAAATAATCAGTGATGACAGATTCACATCATCAATCGACAACAATGACATTTGACATTGATAAACAGTGATTTTTTAAATAACAATCTCGACGGCGGCCCGGTGGTCGAGAGCGCGAAGGCGCTGAGTTCGTATGGGGACTCCCGTTGAGGCATGGGTTCGAATCCCAGTTAGGCCATGGATGTTTGTAAATGTATGCTTTCCTAACCCCGCACAAGTTTCGACTTATGGGGCGTTGGATCCAGTGCTGGGTCCAACGAGGAAATGCAAAAAAATAATAATAATAGTAATGTATAATTCCAATGCATACCATGTGAAATTCAGTCTCAAGAACCAGTCTCCACAATCCGGAAGGATCTGACAAGAATCATTAGTGACCCGCTCTATGAAGTTGCAAGTGAGAATACAGGAAGGTGAGTGCAACATGTGTTCTTAGTTTAATCGTACCCTTATACATATACTAAATATTATTTTATTCTCCTTTCAGTTGCGGTTCTTTCTCAAGCAAATCAACCGAGGATGAATCACTCAGAGACAGGAAAACCTCGAAACGAGTTGATCTGGATTTTATAAAATAAAATATTATTTTGGAATGGTTTGTTTGTTTGTGTTGCTGAACTTGCTGAAGTCGATCTTGTTTCCATAGTTGTATTTGTTCATTGCATGACGTAAACAGAGAAAGTCAGAAAAACAAATCAAAGTGTTGAAAAGGAATATTCTCAGATAAATTATGAACATACAAAAATGGATATATATTTATATAAAGCAATACATTGAGAATTCGCATTCTCTATGTGATGAGAATATTTACTCTTTTTCAGTTAATTCAATAGAAAACAACTACTTTCCTGGCTATATGCCACGACGAACATTGAATTATATCTATTGAACACACACGATAAGAGTTTGAAAATAATATATAAAAATTTCTGAAATTGAGAATTTGCATTCTCCTTCAGACAAAAATATGTATAAACACACATCATTCTGAATATTCAACAGAAAACAACTACTTTCCTGGCTATTTGCCACGTCGAACATTGAATTATATCTGATGAACATTCAAAAGGGGAACATGAAAACTAAAGAATAAAATCCTCCGAAATTGAGAATTGACATTCTTCTTCGTGTGTGTTCAATAGATATAATTCAATGTTCGTCGTGGCATATAGCCAGGAAAGTAGTTGTTTTCTATTGAATTAACTGAAAAAGAGTAAATATTCTCATCACATAGAGAATGCGAATTCTCAATGTATTGCTTTATATAAATATATATCCATTTTTGTATGTTCATAATTTATCTGAGAATATTCCTTTTCAACACTTTCATACCCAATCAGGGGGTTCAAACTTGAACGATGGAAACTTGTGATTTTCATAGACCTCTAATCGCAGATTCGTGATAGAGTCTCAATTCAGAATTCATTTCCACGCCCTGTATGATGAATGTCAATTTATCATACACCCAAAAGCAAAACAAATCAAGTTCAGCTAGTAGATTAGACACAGACGAACAAGCCTGAAGTTGGTTTTCCAATAACGATATTCATCACAGCAATATGTATAAGGTAACCATCAAGTATTCCATCAGATGTCTCCAGCAATTTCAGAATGAAGATTCATTAACTATATGAAATGAGGAAAAATTCCTGTATCCATTCGACCAAGAGCCCAGAGATAAATTTGGTGCCTCATTAGTTATCACAAGAGTGAAATTCCAGGTGTGTTATTCATTTCGCATCGAGATAGAAACCGTGCGTCTGTCGGCCAAGAGTGATCGCTCAATAACGCAACAAATTTCAAAAAAATTGCCGATATCGACCCAGAAGTGCCCCATTGCCATCAGGATTAAAACACTGCCAGAGAGATTGAAATCATTTACTGAATCAAGAACCTTCTCAGAGAGTTTCTGTGAGTGAGTAAAGTAAACAACAAGCTTCTGTCTGTGCTCCAACAATTGTGCGAAAATCCATAATTCCCATGTAACTGGATAGGATAGAAAATGTACCAACACATAGCCTAGGACACAGTGGGTACCATGAACAGAATATAGCAATAATACATTGTCTGGCTACATAATAAACACCGAATCAGTTCGTGTGGAATTCCAAATATTCCGAACAGACTACTAAAACCTCAGGATAAAAAAGGTTCCCGATATCGCCTTATCAGTTTTAGTGAGGGTTGCTGGGCTGTGTGCACGTGAATATATACCAAAGAAGGAAAGATTTGTATTTCATGCAAAATAATTTATTCAATATTTATAGCGGAGCGCTTTCGACTGTTGAGTCATCATCAGTGCGTACCTGTAAGTAGGTAATCTGCTCTTAGCTATTCGGAAGAAATCGAGATAGAAAATTCAAAAGAATTTTTTAAAAAAAATTTGAAAAATATTTTGGAAACATTTTTTTTTTGGAAATTTGCTTACTATTGAAAAAGTGAAATTCAAAAAATAAATTGGTGACTTGTTACTTTTTGATGAACATTCGATTTGAAAGAAACATTATTGTTTCTTTTTCAAAAGCTCATAGATGTGGATTGCTTCAAAATGTACTGTATTTTTCATAAAACTTTTGGCATCGATAGGTAACCAATGATAAGACGCAATGAAATAGGATTTCACGATAATATGGCAGATAGGTCACGAATGCGACTTACTTGGATTGTAGCTTGATGAATTTTCCGGCTTATTCTGGAATGCTGACTGCTGATGGAGCTCAGCGTCTCTGGTCGGGAGGGCCCTCCGGGTAGTTAAAAAACTGGATTCTGAGTAGCCGTCTTCAACTAAGTTCTGTTGTTCATTCACACTCACAAACATGCATAATAGGTTTTTCAAAAGAAAACAGCGTTGTTAACGGGATAAAGTCTTTCCGATTTGTTGAATACGCGTATATGCGATCGAAAGCGGCGGTAAAAGCTTAATGAATGCCTACCGCGTCGTTCTCGCTTTCTTGTCCGAAAAATCTCTTTTTCTCCTCGCTGACAAGAAAAACTCATCGTCCTTGGGGCGATGAGAGAAGTCGCAGAAGTGACCCATATATATGTGAAGAATGAGAAATAGATCAGTACCTTACGAGGGTCGAACGTATTGCATTTTGGTTACTCATCGGGAAAACAAAACGATTTTATGAAAATATATTGAAATGAGTCATGGGGAAATGCAGAATTATATTAGGAAATACAACTTGTTGAAACATACTCCCCCACGAAAAGGCGGGTTAACAACGCGGCTTTTTTTTTCAAATGGAAATATGTA